CAAATGGTAATATAATTTTGTTGCTGTACTTTGCCGAGTTATCGTTTGTATTGTGTGAGAAGTAAAAAAAAAATAAAAAAATAATAATAATAATATTTAAGTCTGCGTATCTACTTCCGGTGGATTTTGGCTAGCTCTGGCTAACTTGACGCAGCTAACAACTTGTAAATTGTTCACAACAGGAAGTGACAGTAATGAAGGAATGTACCTTAAAACTTCAATTAAAAGCCCAGTCCCTTTGTTTTCTTTTCTTTCATTTTATAAGGTGTGGCTACACATTTAGACAAATAATCTCAATGAGATGCCTGAGGTCTCATTTATAAAGCAATGCACATGATCTATATTAACAATGTATGTACGGACAAAAGCCAAAAAAGGTGTGCACCAAAGAATATTAAAAATAAATAAATACTGCTTTTATACATCACAGCTTTTGTGTGGGAAGTGGCATACCCCTTTCTCAGGCCTTGTTTTGTGCGTAACGGATGTCTATAAATGAGACCTTTGGTCCTGTTGCCAATGTTAAAACCAAGTTATTGACTACCTCAAACCACGATTACCCTGTAAGTTCATATTCCTTTAGTCCAGGGGTCGACAACCTTTGCTATCAAAAGAGCCATTTTTGGCCAAAAAGAAAAGAAATTGACTGCAGCCTCAAAACATGATATAACCAGTGACTGTTCTAATCCTTGCTCTGCCTGTACTGGTTATCTCAGGCCGATCAAAATGATTGTTTCATGTAAAAGACACTTGTAAAAACAATTCAACAACATGTTTGGTGGTTGGCTGCTGATATTTAAAGAGCCCAAGATGCAAAACCTGGTGTGTTCCATTTTACCTCATGTCCCAAATTACTTGACCTCACTTTGGGGGAGTTTCATCATGGAGTGATTTTGTATTTGCATATCCTCCTCAGGATAAACACTGCATGGCTAAATTTTGGCAAACCCTCCCACATCTGAGGTCCATTCACAAAGGACCACCTGATGCTTTTCTGTCTGGTGAGGGGATACAGTTGGGTGGTGACACACACACACACACACACACCTGAGGAGAGGCTGTGGCTCAATTACATGCCTGCTGCAGCCAAAGAGAGGATTATGAGTAGGTGCGCGGGGATTTGAATTACAGGGGATTAAATGAGAGTGTATGGGCAATTATGGCTAAATCCTTTGTAAATGTTTACCTTAACAAAGACTGGATTGTGGGCCGCCATAATAATACATTCTACATGTATATTTTGTGGGCCGCACCTCTGCTTTAACAGATTAGTTTCACACAGTCTGACTGAATACCCAGGTGGAGGCATTGGGAATTCACAACAACAGCATGGGACACCCATAGTGGGGGTGGACTCAGAGCAGGATTTTGGCCTACAGTCTTCGTGGGTGTGTGGTTTGTGCTTGGAGTCGGGGTCTTGCACGTCCAGCTGAGATACAGAGATAGTGCTGTTGTGAAAACAAACACAGTCAAGCAAAGTGGGGTCATTGTGTCTGTGTTTTGGAGGTAGTGAATGAACACACAGCTGTCGAATATCATCATGTCAGGCAAGGCCACCTCGCTTTAGTGTTGCAGACTCTGCTCTTCAGCTAAATCCATCTACTTCAAGACAAAAGATGAGACTGTTGCAATATGCTGTCCAAATTAGACAGTTTCCATCTCTGGGTGCTGCTGGAGATATCATCACGCTCCTGTTGAGCAGCCAAGACAACACTGTCGTTACACTCTTATCATCAAACAAGACTAAACTTGTGCTGAACAAGAGCAGATGTGTGCATGTTTGTGCAACACGTATCCCATGCAAACACATGAACTGGAGCCATTTCAGAGCGTATTCTCTCCTGCAAAGTTTAGTCTCGGTTTTTTCACTGCTGCCTGCATGATCCTCAGTGTGTTGTCGACCATCAAATGTTACAGTGAAATGTGTGCAGTCACGGTTTTGATGGACTTTCTGATAAGTTTTGGTTTTGAAAGCTCCTGAAATTTACAGAGATCGCTGTGAAAGATAGTTTCTCAATATGAAATGTATTTGTCAAGAGTTGGCCACGTAAAGTCTCCTGTATGCAGATAGGGTTGGTCAATATCATGCAACAAAAGGCAGTGACTGTGCAAACTGTTTCTAAAAGCAAATGCTATGCTGGGAAAAAATTCAATTTCACATACTTACATAATTTTTTTTTCCCCAGTACAAAAGAAAATTTTCCTACAAAATGATGATTATTGAGCGCGATGAAAAATTTTGGGATGATGCCACTTGTTGCCGCCTTAAAATTATTTAACTAGGCTATCTGGGACAATTCCGAACCATGTCTCAGAAAGACACCTCTACTACCACTCCTAGTTTAATGTGCACCCTGCCCAGAAACACATACTGACCTTTAAAAAGTTCACTCAGAATAAAATTGAAAATGCAGAGAGCTTCTGTTGTCTTAAAAAAAGTATTTTTTATTCATCATCTCACTCATTTAAAATACCTGAACTTACTGATGCTTGTGTAAAGTGCCTTTTCAAGGAGTCATAAATGTGGCAGTAAAATAAGCAGTCTCACTCCAATGTCAATAATCTGAACAAAAGAGTAATTAGTTTGCTTTTCAAAGCCGTCGATTGGCCTGTTCGGCTGTCAGTCACTGGTTCAGCCACTTCTGGAGCAGTAAGAAGATGTGGTCACGGGCCAGAGCCAGCTGGGGGAGGTCCTCGCTCCTGGCAGGGTACATGTTGGCACAGTGGGCTGTTCCTGGATA